TTAAATTTATTTACAATTTTAAAAAAGTTACAAAGGGACAAATGTAAGGCTCTCTTACCCTTTTGCCTAATTGACTTGGTAAAACAAATAACAAATAAATATGACTACAAGTGTATTTGCTCGGTAAAAAAATATTGGAAAAATAATTGGTAGCTATACCAAGTATAACCCGTTACATGACTATACATCCCAACTAAATTAATATCATCTTAATTACATTAAGTAATGGACAAACACAGTAAAATACACGAACAAACATAAGTCATGGTGTCAACACCATAACCATTAATTCATCAATAACTATTTAACAAAATTGTTAAATTCGACTCTTCCAGTTAGAACTAGCTCATATAGACAAACTGAGTGAGTCCTTAACCCGACCCAATACAATACAAAATTAAGCTCAAACCATCCGATCTGACCAGACTACATCTTCTTTTGGTAAAAACCATGATTTTTCTCACCCAACTAAATTTTTCTCGCGATTAGAGATGAAGAAGAAGAGAAAATGAGTTTTTTCGTGCAAAAAAAAAAGTTTGTGGAAAGAGCATTCAATCAGGTGAGATTTCTTTTATTTATACTTTGATGAACAATCAATTTGATAAATTTGTAGGACAACCGAAGAAACTAATTATTGTATCTAGTTGTTTATGTGTTTCATGGTAAATGAATTTAAGCTCGAAATCTTCTAATAATAGTAGGAACAGATCTGAAGGAGGTAAAAAAAATGTATAAAAATCATGAAAGTAAAAGAAACCGAGTCAAAAATTCTTGAGGTGTGAGTCGTCCAACCTTATCTTCTATGCAATAAGTCGAGATGAGATTCGCGATCACCTATTTTTGTGCTTGCTATATGTCATGATCGCATGGGCCAATCAACTAATCAAAATGTAAACATATCCACTTTCAATAGTTATACCAATCATGCGAATCATAGAATAATGATACTTAACTGTAATGTTTGTTTCTACAAACTTTTTGTACATGTATCTGCTTCTTCTGCGTTCAAAGCTAGTCAAAGTCCTAATATCTTGATCGCTAAAGGAAATGAATGGCCACGAGTGAAACAATTAACAATAAA